AGGTGATTTCTTACCAGAAGCTCTACAGGCCAGAAAGGCATGGCAAGAAGTACTCAAGGTAATGAAAGGCAAGGATCTGAAACCAAGATTACTATATCTAGCAAGGCTATCATTCAAAATAGACAGTGAGATAAAGAGCTTCCCAGATAAGAAAGGCTAAAGGAGTTCATCACCACCAAGCCAGCATTACAAGAAATGCTAAAGGGACTGCTGTAATAATAAAAAGATATATACAGTATATACGAGAGGCCCAGTGCATGAAATTTGTGCACTTGGGGAGGGAGGGTCTCTCAGCCCGGCCTGCACCCTTGTAGTCCAGGAGCCCCGTGATCAATCACCCCATGGAGAAAGGCCCCACCCATCCGCTGCAGCAGTGCCGGCTGGGGGCCTGGGCCTCCCTTTTTGGGGCAATCGCAGAGGCCCCCAGATTGATTGCCTGCCAGCCAGTGGCCTGGGCCTCTCTCTGCAGGGCAATCATGGGGCGATACGGGGTCCCCCGACCAATTGCATCTCACCTGCTTGGCTGGCCTGGCACCAGTGCATGTCACAGGGTGGTCGTCTGCTGTTCAGCCGTTTGGTCCACTTGCATATTATACATACTTTTATTATTATAGATATGTATGCATAAAGAATTAAAATGTCAATGAATAAGTACCTATCAATAATAACCTTAAATGCAAATGGATTAAATACACCAATCAAAAAACAGCCTTCAGACTGAAGGGTCCCAAGTGTGATTCTGGTCACGGGCACAGGCCCAGGTTGCAGGCTTATCCCCAGTAGGGGGCGTGCAGGAGGCAGCCGATTAATGATTCTCTCTCATCACCGATTTTCTATTTCTCTCTCCCTCTCCCTTCCTCTCTGAAATCAATAAAAATATATTGAAAAAAATTTTTAAATAAATAAACATGGACCAGATATTAGATGATGTTTTTTAATTATTATTGATTTTCTTAGATAGGAAGAGATGATCCATGTCAGAGAACCTGCATCTTCCTAAGAGATGTCTGCGGGCACATTTAGGACTGAAGAGTCCTCAGGGCCTTCAGGGGTCTCGGTGGGGAGAGGGGGATGTGGAGACATTGACATCCATGTGCACAGTTGTGGAACCAGGTGGACGGTCCATGGGTATTCATTTTACCTTTTAACCTTTCTCTGAGTTTTTAATTTTTTATAATAGAAAGTTTTGAGGGAAAAAACTTTTCATGGAAAAAGAAACCAGGTCTTCCTACAAAAGGTTGGAAGTTGTTACTGTGAAGTGGGTTTTGCTAAAGTCATGGCACCCAGCATTTCTGAGAAGTCAGTACAAATGAGGGATGAGTGGGTTAGCGTGTGGGAAATTCAGCTCCTCTGAGTCATACATGTAAATTGCGATCGTGACCATCAGGGCTTGGGTGCAGTTCTAAGAAATGTCATTTTTGATGCACTTCCTTTCATCTTACCTCTCGGACTCTCAGAGGAAGTTCGACCGCATGGCCTCAAGGGGCCACAGTGGGGTGGCAGACACAGGGCGTGGAGGAGCCTCAGAGACCACAGGCCGGGGAGGGCAGGGGGCCGGAGGGCTAGGCTGCGGCCGATGCCCTGGTGTGGAGAGGACGTCTCACTGGAAAACACTGATCCACACAACAGCGCCCCCTCGGACCAAGCAATTCCACGCGAGGAGCTGACGCCAGCTGGCGAGACATGAAGAAGACGTCTATATAAATGACGTGCGTGCGTGGGCGTTTAGAAAGTGCCTGGACCACGGCAGGCGCCCACGAGTGCTCCCGGTCGTCACGCTCCCACAGGGTCTTACGAGCTCATCTACAAGGAGAAGGACGAACGGACAGGACGGAGCAGTGACAAAAGCAGCCTGTTGGCACTGTTTCATCTGAGAGGCCCGCAGTCGTGCAAAGACAATGTCGGGGGAATGAGGCACAGGTGTCACCTGCTGGCACAGGGCGTGCCATGCCTGGCAGCGGAGGGCGCTGTCTTCCAGGCGGGAGCAGCCCACAGGGTGCAGCCGGGAGAGAAGGGAGCTCCTCGCTCTCCTCCCGCCCACTCGGTGCGTCTGTCGGCCACGTGCTCACTGAACTGTGGGAGCAGACGTCCCCGACGTGGAGGCACCTTTGCTCCGTGTCCCAGACTCTCTGAGCCCCGGGGCGGCCCGGAAAAGGCTGTTTTCAGAATGAGGTTGGAAGGTTCAGAATGAGGCTCGGAAACCTCCAGCACCTGCTCTCAGGTGCCCGACGGGCTGGAGCCCGAGCGTGCCCAGGGACAACAGCGGCCGTCAGCCTCGCCCAGGGGCACGGGGGAGGGCCGCAGGGGCTTCGTGCGCGACCCTGTCCGGCACGCGATCAGGAGGAGATGAGGCCCACAGAGATGAAACAACTCCCCCGAAATGCCCCACAGCTCTGTTCTGTCTGGTTTAATGAGGTCTAGTATGTTCCCATCCACACAGAGTTCAGGAGCAGGCCACAGGGGTCTGTGGTGAGGGGAGTGAGAATAATCCGCCGGCAGGAGTGAGGGAGCCTTCGTGGGGGCTGGAAAGTGTTTCCTGGGCATGCACAAGGTGAAGATTCACTGACCTGCACACTTAAAATACATGCATGTCACCGCATGCAAATCACACCCCGAATTAAAGACAATAGAAAGCAAATAAAATCCATTATCTGTAAATGGTGTGAGCAAAAAAAGCATTAACAAGCTGGGGAGCCTTACCATCCATTCTCAGCCACCCTGCAAGTCATCTTGGCTTTTGTTTGGTTTCATTTCATGCCTAACCTGTGCGGCTTAAAGCACCAGCGTGCTCTCTCGCTGGATAAGACCCTGCATGAGGCATCGGAGAGCAGCGTTCGGCACAGTCTGCTCGACAGATGGCGAAGAAAAGCTTCCTAACCCCGGGGGCGCTGCTGTGTATGGAGGTGACAGCCCCAGCCGGGGGTGCAGACAGAAAGGGGTGCAGACAGAAGGGGTGCAGACGGAAAGGGGTGCAGACAGAAGGGGTGCAGACAGAAGGGGTGCAGAAGGAAAGGGGTGCAGACAGAAAGGGTGCAGACGGAAAGGGGTGCAGACTGAAAGGGGTGCAGATGGAAGGGGGTGCAGACGGAAGGGGGTGCAGGTGGAAGGAGGTGCAGACGGAAAGGGGGTGCAGACTGAAAGGGGTGCAGACAGAAGGGGGTGCAGACGGAAGGGGGTGCAGACGGAAAGGGGTGCAGGCGGAAGGGGGTGCAGACGGAAGGGGGTGCAGACGGAAGGCCGTGCAGGTGGAAGGAGAGCGAGAGCATCCAGCGGTGCGGGGTTTGCGGCATTTCAGTGGGCAGCAGAGTCTGGGGCTGCCTCTGGTCACAGACCCACCCCACGCCCAGCTGTGCTTTTGTTACCCTCATTGACACAAGTTAATACATGACTGTCTTCTCCATGTGAAACATGAAACCATTACAAATGGGGCTCAGGTCCCAACTGACCATCATCCCAGTCCCGGCCCCGCTTGCCCTGCGGGGAGTCGTGGTCATCGCGCTGTCCTTTCCGATTTCTCCCGCCTTCTCCCGCCTCACATCCTCAGCCGCAATCACGGCCCCTCTGTGTGTCTATGTGTCTGGCTTTTGCTTGACTTACAGGCCTTTTACCGTCAGGGTCAGGCTGTGAACTGCTTCCCCCTCAGCGGCCGGTCTCGATAGTTCTTTCCACGCTGCCCAGCGCCCGGCGGTGTCCGCCCACTCTCCGGCCTCCTCTGGGAGGTGGGCAGGCTCGCTGTTCCAGCCGACGCTGCTATGAACGGCTTCGGAGAACATTCCCGGCCCCTGTGGCCTTGGAGGACATGCCTGGGCCGAGGGTTAGGGTAGTTATACATTTCAGCTGACCCTGGCAGACGGCCCCCCACCACGGGAGCAGCTCACCCCTCCAGCCGCAGGCCCCAGGTCCCCACCGCACTGCGGCCAACCTGATGGGGGGAGTCTTTTTTCATGTTGTCTTTTCTGATCATTGAAAACGCATTGATCGCCTCTAGGTTTCCTGACCATTTGCATTCCTCTCCTCTGCTCACCACCATCCACGGTGGCTGTGCTTCCCTCCCCACGCCGCCCAGGGCCCGATGCCT